GGATGCTCTTCTTTCAATTAAGTAGAAGCTTAGATTGCTAAGTTTACATTGTATTCTCTCCATATTGTTGAATAAAATATCGGTTCCTCTGCCAATTTCTCATCTATTTTCTTTACTTTAATCTTGTTCTTTTTCTTGTGATCTTTGTTATTTCAATTCATCATTAATCTCAATTGCTGCGTTCGAGGCAATTTTTTCCCAACACATTCCTGCAAAGAAATATAGTCATTTGAACAACGCATACACAAAACACAAAACCAGTAAATTCCACTTAAAAAAATACATCTAGCAAAGACAATAAGCCTCAAAATTGGACAAGGCTGAATTCAATGGAAGCAAACAATCCATCTATGCATACATAAATACCTAACTAACCTAATAAGCAATCCACTTATAACCCCAAACACAAGCCCATAATTAATGAACACCCACGTTAACCTACAAGAATATAATACGATACCCGATCAATGTGTTTACCTGTACCATTGACTACCACATTTGTCGACGGCGGACGGACAAAAGTTGAATACAGCAACTGGTGTGTCATGTTTGACTGTCATTGTAACCCTGCATGAAAGGACATGTTTAGCACCTGAATCCAATTACACAAATTAACATAACATACTAACCAATCGGTATTGTGAATATGATAACGGCGTCGACATTGAACATTGTGGTAGTTGTGATGTTTGGACGTCAATTGCTCCCTCTTCTATATTAGTATGCCTAGTTGTAGGCCTCTTTCTGTTGCTTGACAATGAGGTGGCATGCATGTTCGACAAGTAAAATGATTATTTGGTTTTAAATTCTCCATTAAATAAGATGCTAATAACCAAAAATACCCTTACTCTCTTTGCATTAGACTCTAATGGGCCGTTCCTCCGAATTTTTCGTGGTGCACCCTTTCTGTTAGACGATAACGGATCTAATATGCTCACGTTGCTACTATGATACTGCGAATGTACAACAACAATTCATGATTCTCATCTTCTATAATTTCTTTTCCTGAATAGAATAAAAATGAGTGATGTATAAATGATTAGTATGTGAATAAAAAGTTATTTTACTATTTATAAAAAGTGAATAAAAAGTTATTTTACTATTTATAAACAATTTATAAACATAAGCCAAACAATTGCTAAAGTAGTATGAATAAAGTACTTATCTCAAATTTGTCCTCAATAATTTGTGCAATGTGTAAGTGAAATAAAACAACAATGAACCGAAGGAAATGAATTAAGCTATGTTAAAGTTTTGATATACCATATCAAACTAATCTTTCCAAAAATTACAACTCTTAAAAGACAAAAAACTAAGACTAATTACCCGTCATATTTTTGGTCTCAAATGATAGTTTCTTCAAACATAGCTTTGTTCATAATACATACTCAAGTCCCAGTATCTTCAAGCATATCATCTACATTAAAAAAGGTGACATGCAAGAAAAATCAGGATCTAAATCTTTTTGTAGCAAATGTTGAGCTTTCCAATGAAAAGTAATTTGTCTTGGATGTGGTTAGGTATATGCCGCACAATAACATTTATGAAACTCAACTGACCGAACACAATAGCTATGTTTGAAGAAAATGTCAGTTGAAACCAATGAATTAAAGCTCCAAATGAAAACATAGCTATGGCTTCCGGAATTAGCTAATCAATTTAGAACCCAAGAAGGAAAATACCTTTGTCTGCCGTTTAGGGTTAGTATTTCTTCCAGAATTGTTGATAAAAATGGCTTCGTTGTCGGGAACAATTCTGTCGGCTTTCTTGTTTACAAACTGGAGTTGCCTGCCGTTCGATTAACCGGATTTTGGTCGGAGATGGATGGGTTTTGAGTGGTGGGGAATCGAGGGTAAATTTGGAGAAAATTGTGTGTGGGGCTTTCCTTTTCCCGATTTTTTTTTTTGACATCTTTTTCGTTTTTTTTTAAAACTTTGTCATGTCATTTCATTTTGAAACCGTGTAACACTCCCATAGCTTTTCTCCTCGAAAAAATTATGTATCTTTCTATATATATATATATATATCAAGATTTACATAATATATTACATAAATTCATTATGCACCAATATCAAAATCAGGAAATTATTATTTCAAAATCAAATTCTTGAGAGGGGCCAAATGGGCGATTAGCACAAAAAATAGAACCAAGAGACAAATGTTCTTCCGAAAAAAGGGCACCCAGCAGCAAATTTGACCATCGCAAACAGTAACCCAAAATGCATATTACTATCTCCAGCAAGAGGGCAACCGGCGAAAACTATTTCTGCTGAAGGCTTACGGGATAAGAGGTCGATCAAACATCAAGGTTTATCAATTTGCATAAAAATGGATAGCGACGATGAAGATTTTGTGTTTTACGGAACACCCATAGAACGCGAAGAAGATGTCACCAGTCGAAAAAAGAAGGCCGTGGCCGGGGCCTCTGGTCAACTTCGAACACTTCCCCCATGGAAACAAGAGGTAACAATTTTGAAATATCTGATTTCCTGCAGTTTTTAGTTAAATAATTGGCGGGCTGAGTGAAAAGTTGTTTTCCGTGCTGTTTGGAGTTTAATTAACGTAGGTTGGGGGATGCTGGGATTTCTGATTTAAATTTGAAGAAGATTTTGTGGCTAAAGCTGATTTCTGTATTGTGATTGTAGCTGTTATATACATTTGTGTATTATATCCTAATAGATAATTTGGAATTATTTTCTGAATCATTATACTCTGCCTTTTGGTTAAAGTTTGTCAATGAATTACAATGAATTAAAATTTTAACTTCAACATTCCGTTCCCTATTGATAATTGAATCAAAATAGTGAAAATGCTCAGTCTTGGGTGTTCTCTTACCGCCAACCTCTATTACCCCTCCTGGCCTCCACAATTACTTCACGTGTACTCAAATTTCAACCCCCATTTACTCCGGCTTATGAATCCTTTCACATTTAGTTCTCAATAACTCTTATTTAGAACGATTCTCATTTTATTTTCATCCATTTTGAGGTGTACCACTCAACTTCCACAAGATGGCTTTGGCGGGCCACCATTCATGGCAGTCATCATACCAGAATCCTTCTGCATCCATTGCTTTTTTCTCCCATGAATTTAGATCAGCTTTTGACATGAGCATGGCAGAATTTCTACAGTAGAATCCCATAAGTTGCTTGCGTAATCTAGGGTGGAAAATAATCTCCTTCCCCATATCTGCCACAAGCTTGAAAAGTAACTGAAATGGTTAGGACGCCCAGAGCAACACATCTTGGAAAAAAAATAACGAATACTAGAGAACCAAGGATTGTAAGGTCCTAATGAAGGCCACTAAGAAGATCAGAATTGATTGCCAAGAGAAGAAAATAGGAAGAACGAAGATGGCAAGAATGCTACACAGCTTTGATAACATGAAGAATTGTAGGATAAAGATTGAATTTTATGATCTTTTGCCGTAGAAGTTTCCAACTTTAAATAGAGTACAAAAAGTTTACTTGATTTCTAGAATTTTCAACCTGAAGAATCTGGCTACTGTTTTATTAATTTGATGATTAAGGTAGTTTGTCATTGCACTTAAAATTATAATATTTGATTCTGCAGGTTACAGATGAAGAAGGGAGAAGGAGGTTCCACGGGGCATTCTCTGGTGGGTTTTCTGCTGGCTACTATAATACAGTTGGTTCCAAAGAAGGTGTACTCTCTCTCTCTCTCTCTCTGCATGCACGTTTGCCGTTGTTTATATTCATAGGTAGATATTGAACTTCTGGCAAAAAAATGCAGGATGGACTCCACGGTCGTTTACATCATCTCGGAAAAATAGAGCTGAATTTAAACAACAGAGTATCTATAGCTTCCTGGATGAGGATGAAAAAGTTGTATGTTCTTGAAGTATATCTTGCATTTCTTGTGACAATTTATATATTTTTCCTACATAACAGTGTTCGTGCACATATCGGGACTTAAGCGGAGGGGTTATAATTTTATGCACACTAAACTATTGCGTGCATTTAATGGTCTAGGAAATGGAAGACCGGTCAGTGGGAATGTCCATGCAGTTTGATACATTTGGATTTACGGCTGCTGAGCTTGCTCGCAAACAAGCTGATAAAGAACAACAAAAGAGGTTTTTATCAACTGCTTATTTTACATATCCCTAATTCATTGTCAACTGATGGTCTGTTAGAGTGCAGCAATTCCAATCCCTATTTTGCTCTTGATCTTATCATGTGGGAAACTATGGCTAAGGTGTCTGAATCACCATGTAAATGGCTATAACATAGTTGCTAAACTATGATAACTCTGTTAATGTGGATTCTTAAGGGTTGGTTTGCTTTCTCTCCCCTCCTCTTTGGACATATATCCGGCGTCAACTGGGGTTTGTATCATTTATTTGTTGTGTTTAAGATGTTGTCTGGTCCAATTATATGTATGCTAATACAGTCAATGTGGAATTCTTGAGCAGGCACAAATTCAACTTTGAATTTCCCTCTGGATAAAATAACAATTTGATATGAAATATAAAGTAAAAGAATAAATGGATTTATCTTCTTGCGGTACTGCAGTTTTGTGCCCTTTCAATCAACATGCTAATAGCATCTAGTTATTTGGTGGATGCATTATATGATCTTTAAACTTTTGCAGTATGAACTACTGCATTTCCTTCTTCGTTTCTGTTTCATTCTCTGTGTGGTTTATGATTATGGTATTCAAGTTTATTTTGATGCCGAAGACTGGTGAGCGCACATCTTTGTTGTAACTATTGAAGTCGGATATAGAACCTTTAGTTTTCTTTGCATTTGGTCTTTGTTCGTGGATTCTTTTTCCCATTGCTTCAATCATGTTGGTGGTGTAAATTCTTTGTTTTCATTGACATTTTTCTTTCATTTGCTGCAGACCCTCAGCCATTCCTGGACCTGTTCCTGATGAACTAGTAGTTCCAACTACAGAATCTATAGGTTTATTTAAGATGTTCAAGTAAACTATTAATTTGTGCTTCTTGTGGTGATTGCATCTCAGAAATTTTAGGTTTCTATGATCAGGTGTCAAATTACTGTTAAAGATGGGATGGCGGCATGGTCGGTCAATAAAGGATTCAAATAGTGATGCACTGTATGGTATGACTTTCTAGCACACGCTCTTCTATTTATCTGAAAACTGTATTACTCTGGTACCAGTTCATGCATAATCTGGAAAGTGGGGAAAGTTCTTGGGAGATCTCAATTTAAGATCATAGCTGCTGTCAATTGCAATTATATGATGTCAAACTAAGTTGGTTTTTGACCTGTCACCCTTGGGTAGGGTGAAGGTTTTGCTAGGCTATGCCAAAAATTGTAACTGTTCCCTTTTATAAATACTTACACACATGCGCACAATAACCATGAGAGAGAGAGAGAGAGAGGCAGAGGCAGTATTTTATTTTTTTCACATGCCATTATACATTTGGTGTTTCTCTCAGCTGTTGTTAGGCATAGAGAGTTGGGGATAAAAGATTGAGACTTGGAGATGAACACACAGAATGATTCAGGAAAGGCTAAAGAGATTTTACCCTTTGCTGGAAAAAATTCTTATTGATGTTTCTTCTTTACTTTGCTTCTTATCTGTGATTGATGCATCTAGTCCTGATTTTTGCACTTTTTTTCCAGTTATTAATAATTCTCTTTTCTGCCTGTAAGAGGATTTCCCTCTTTATAATGTGGATCAATTTATTTCAATATATCGATACTTAGACATCCTTATGAAGGAGATGCAGAGGGACAAAATGGGGGGCCCTTTATTTATCTGATTATGTCTCCTTGTCCTTGTCCTTGTCACGGAACATCATTTCTGTGACTTCTCATCCTTAGTGACATGCCTTCCGTAAAATGGTTTCCCAAAGTATGTAATAATGGGCATATTCTCCTAGAATACAGAAAAAACTGTCCTCTTTTTATGGCTTTTCTGAAGTTAACATGCGCATGGAGGTACTTTGGTGAATTGATCTGAAATTAATGGTATTATGATGGGCAAATATACTAAATCTCCTGAAAACTTTGATGTCAATATAAGTTTGTTCTTGTTATCTGAATTGAATCAGTAACCAATATGTCAGACAACATGCTCCTGACCGGAGTATCATAAAGACAATAGTAATGAGTTAATGTGCTGAGAAACTCTGCTTAGACACTGGCACATTGTTAAAAATGCATGAAACTTGAGATATAGGTTTCGCTCAGCAAAACATTGCAAGTTTTTTGAGGACATCTATTAATTAGTGGACTTAAATAATCTACTACAAGATATAACTTTTCTGACTTATCACCTAATAAATGACATTCTGTTGGGTCAACCATCTGCTGAAATAACATTTTTTTTTTGTCTTTGATGAAGATACTCGCAGAGAAGCTAGAAAAGCTTTTCTGGCGCTTTCCTCAGACGATGCTCCATCACAGCTGGGTGAAGGGAGTACTGAAAGTGGCCATGATCTACCTACTGATGATGATAACCAGATCTCCAAAAGCACACCGGTTCACTTATTTACCTTCACATCAACATATATTAAAATTGATTTTTAATCTACAGTTTTTCATAAATTAGAAATTTTAGTTTCCGTCCCATTTTTCTGTTGTGGAGTCCTCTTGCTATACTGTACTTTTACATGATGGAGATTGATAAAGATATTTTATTAAATAACTGCCAAGTTTTATTTAATAGAATATCTTTATCAATCTCCATCAGTATTTATTTTTCTAGAAAGAAAGAAGTCTGTCCTAGAAGAGACAAGCATAATTTCGTCACTCTTTATGATCTATGTTGCTTGTACTTGGGTGTGAGGTTCTCGGGCGTGTGAATGGTCAAACTTTACAACATGATGATTCAATAAAAAATGTTAAATTTTCTGGATATGGTGCCTCATAACTCATAATGAGAGGAAGCTATATTAGGACACCCATATTATATATTAGATAAATTTGACATTATAAAATATCTAGAAAAAGTATTAATAAGAAAGAATAAGAATATATATATGTTAACTGAAACTATGCTATGACAAAAAAGATACCTATTTACTTTGTTAGTCTTTTAAGTTATTGTTTAGTATTTTGGACTTACATTGTGTTTCTTGTATTTTGGACTTATATTGCGTTTCATTCTCCCATATCTGTTTCTGAAATATGGGAAACGTGTGAAGTGTCCTGTAATGCTGGGCTTGAGTACAGTATGGAACATATCCTCCAATTGTGAACTAATCAATTGAAATTCATGATCTATCACAAAAAAAAAAAGAAAAGAAAATGAAACATCACATTTGAAGTCGTGTGACGATTTTTTCATGGAAATATCTATTTCTGGAATTAGTGAAAGATGGAACCTGTTACGCATAGGGAATGTTGTCAGACCAACAAATCTTACTAGGCAGGGATATTGGTGGTTACAAATATATTTCTTGATGTAAAAAAGTGCATTTGAATTGCAATCTCATCCGACCTGCCAATCTTTACCATTATGATAATGAATCTGTAACTGCTGCCTAAGACTTCTCCAATTTTGCTGTCTGATTAATTTGGTTTCCTTTGCAGGCTTATGTTCTCAACCCAAAGCAGGACATGTATGGTCTAGGCTACGATCCGTTTAAGAATGCACCTGAATTTAGGGGTGTGTACCTTTCTGGTGTAAGATAATCACATATTTTATTGTGAGCATTGCCTCAGGGGCATAATTTTTTGTGTCTTTAATTTTAGAAATGAAAAGATTACGAAAATCTGGGAATAGGGAGATGGATCTTCACAGGCCTCTTTCTATGAAAGGTAGTCCATTATATTCTGCCGTAGTACGTCTATTTCATTGTTCATTTTATATCTTGAAGTCCGCTATTTGTTTGTTGCATAATTTGATTGCATATGCTCTTTTAACATGTTCAATGTGTTAGCAGGGAAGGTTGCTCCTGGTTTTGGAATTGGCGCTCTTGAAGATCTGGATGCAGAAGATGAAGATATATATGCCTCAGGCTAGTAGCTCTTCTAACTGCTCTTAATATTCTTAGTTCATTTTTTGTTTGTCAGCTTAAAGGGACCATAGGGAATCCAATTTGTACAATCTCTCTCACATTGAGTTCTCTTGTAGAAAATACGTCGCACTGTTGTGTCTGGCTGTGTAATATTTCTCCCTTCTATGATTTCTATTTTAGGTCCTGTTTGAGCCACATTATTTTTTTCATTTTCATTTTTCTACTCATTTTTAACCACACTTTTCAATAAAATAATATTTTCCATCACATCAGTAACTTTTCCTTCTTTTTCAACCACATATTCTCCATCGTATCAACAGTAAAAATGCATTCTTTTTCCAAAAATGTGCACCAAACGGGGGTTTATTTTAAGAAGTTGGGCTTATGGATACAAGTCAACCAGTGGTACTATTGACATTGTTTTATTAAATAGCTTATTGTTGCAATTCTTTCCTTGGCTCTTTTCTCTCATTCTTTTATTTCTTCCCATATTTTGTAATATCTTTATCATGGGGAGATTGCAATTTATGAACTTCCTCTATTTGCGGTAAGAATAGGAAGAATAAGACACCTAGCCTTGTAGACTAAGTTCTAAGTGTTTCTTTCTCCTTTCATTTTTGTGAAGAATTTTTTTTTTCCCTTTTCAAATGACAAACTGGAAGCTTATTGAAATCTTGACCAATTATGAGTTAATTGTGTGGTGAAATGTGTTTGCACCAATGCAGTTCATTATATTTAGATATACGTGCTCGATCATTTATCCAATGTCATGTCTAGGTTATCTAAACAGATNAAAAAAAAAAAAAAAAAAAAAAAAAAAAAAATGACTAACTAAACATCTCATTACATTTGTTTGAATTACAGACATAGTCCAAAATCAAATAAATAGGTGCAATAGTTTTATTCGATATCATTTGCTCAAATTTGACTCTGTGCATTAGATTTTTTTCCATGTGAGTTTATCAGACCCAAAGGCTTTATTTGAACTCTCCTTTCTTAAGTAAGTATTTCAGTTTTTTTTTTTGGCTGGAGAAAGTTAACACTGTGGATCCTTATTGTTATGGTTGGTGTAGGTTCTTTAGATTGCCTGGCTTAGATGAAACTCAGTGACTTGGAAAAATAAGATTCACCTGGCTATTATGAGATTTTTAGCTTGGAAGTTGCTGGTTTTCCAAAATTGGCAATCTAGATTGGGAATAATTTGGAATGTGGTTTGCATTAACCAAATTGAAAATTGGGTTGGTTGGGAGTGAGCCAGCAAATTCTGGACAGGCAATTGTACTTCAAGCGCACAAGCAGTTTTGTGCTTGAATAATGTCATGTGAACGCTTCAGTTAGATTTAAGTTATGTGTTTTTTTCTTTTGAATCTGGATATAGATTTTTTTTTTATTATGTTACTACTATTTTCTGTTATAAGATTAAGTTCTTCTCTGTCTAGATATGGTTGTTTTCTTGCCGATATTGTTACTTATTTATTTTAATTTTCTCCTGATAGACACATATTGTCATCTATAAAATTCAAAAAAGGAAAATTGCAAGTAATACTTGTTTATGAAGATTAACTTTTCACCATAGATTGATGCTTAGAAAGAGTCTTTGTAATGAATAAAGGGATGTGTACATTGCTTGAAAGCATGTACATTTTAAAGGTATGTCACCTTAAAATTCAACATTATGACTTTCTTGAAGTAGGGAATTTCATGTCAATGGTGTCCTTGCTATTGCTAAAGGATACTTGGAAAATTGCAAGTTATTGTAATGTGTGAAGTGGAATTTTCTTTTTCCTGATATATAAGCTAGACGACCAACTTAAACAAGGAAAATGACTTCCACATTGTAGGTCTTTGACTAAGTTTTCTACATTTTACCACCCCTTTTACACGTTCACTTTTTTTTTTCCAACGTCTTTTTTTTTTTTTAAAGCAAAACACATGCACAACATAAAAAGGGAAGTAATAAGAGGTGAAGTACTACTTCTAATACAAAGCAAGCAAATGAAAATCAAACTAATGTTCTCCAATACTAAGAAGTACATATCTATCTATCTGTGCAAGGGCTCGAAATCATTGTGGAAGGTCGGGAGGATCATATTCCTGATAATGGTACTAATCCTGCCTCTCAGAAGCAAGTAAATTGGCAACCTAGTTTTCCTCACGATAAGTGTGGAAAACAATATTACGATCAATAGAGAAATTGTGTCTGATCTAATGATCTGAATTGCTTCTAGTCGTCCACCCCTAGTGAAACGGTGAACGACTCGGCCTCCACCAAAATGTCGAACAATCTAAGTCGGCGAGCAAGTAAAATCCTATACAGGATAGCCCTAACTCAGCCTTCAGAATGAGACAATCTCCATAATATGACGAGAATGCTCTAATGCAATGACCAGCCTAGTGCCAAATAATGTCCCCAATAGTAACAAATTAATCCTTGACGTATCTGTCGGTGTTCATCTTGTAAGATCCCACTGGTGGAGTTTGTTAAATAACTAAAATAGAGGGAGCCGAGGGAGGGAGAGTCAACGAAACACCAAAAAGAGAGGTGAGAACCATGTCTCCACACCAGTGAATAGGCTGGAATAAGCGACCTATAAGATGTGAAATCATGCAGCAAGACTCCAAATGATCCGAATAGGCTCCATGCGTATCCCACTATGCTTCGCATCACTCCTCACAAGCCATAAGAACCAAAACATCAATGGAGGAATGATGGTGCGAATGTGTTCCTTACGAACATACTGGCCGAACACCTCCGAAGTTATCTCCAAAATGATTCCATACTTGATCAGAGCTGGCGATGCTAGTGAAAATGTATGAACTAGTCTCAATCTCCAAATAACACTAGCATCCAGAGGCCAAATGTCAGCCAAACATTATCTAAATGACCACGTCAAATGATATCAAGTTCTACCATAATCTCCAGTTGAAGAAGGAAACTGTGGTATGTATAATGGAACTCCACATCAGTCGATATGAATCCTAAGACGGTCGACTCGAACGGACTAACTAACATCTTTTTTCCCTAAGTCCTTGTACTTGTTTGCTCGATCAATATATCACTCTCAACCTGTCTTTCCTCACTCTAGGCAATGAGCTAACTTCCTTTCATCAAACAAAGTGGCCTTGTACACCCTTCATTAACTTGCTTTAGGCTGCTAGCTGTTCTTTAATGGGACCTCGAAGGAATGATCCATCATTATAGAAGTGTAATAGAAGGTTTTCAATCACATAGATCTTTCGACTTTTCATAGTTTTGCTTTTCAATGGTTCTTTTGTCTTGTTTTCTTTTGGGCATGCATGAGTATGGGAAAGGCAATCTTAATATAGAATCAAACTCCCCAAGTCTTTTTCTTTTTGGATCACTGTTACACAACACAAGTTGATTACCTTATGCTTGACGTGGGTACTGGAGATAAATAAATTGGAGAATGTTTGAAGGCGTTGAGGTTTATCTGTGAGAGATCAAAGGCATTTTCTGTTTTTCCTACTCTTTTGGAGTTCCCATTCCGTTCCTACTTGTGGGATGTTTGGATGAATCTTTCATTCAGTTTTTATGGCAGTCTGGTGTTTGTTATAATCCCTGTATGTGGGGGTTTTCCCGTTTCATTCTTGACTTTGTTAGTAAATTTTTTTGAATCATAATAAAATCAATTTTTTTCCTTTTGTAACAGTGACATTGATCAACATTTTCAGTGTTTTACCTAATGGAATCACTGGTTCTTTTATTTCTTTAGGTTATGACTTTGAAGAGACACACGTGCACGAAATAGAAGAGCCTTCAAGACCACATGTGGAGAACATGCTAATGTTAGAAGGAAGGGAACATGGTGTTCTGCCAGGTTTTAAAGCTGCTTCAAAATCCGACTCCATATCCGAGAGGTAATTGTTTATAGAAGCTTATTTTATTAAACTTGTGACTTATATCTTCATCTGCTGTAGTTACAATATTTTTTTGATTGGAACTTGAAATTTTGATGTTTTAAAGTTCATTGCTTGGCTGTGATCAATACCTAAGAATAATATGTAATGATCATTGGTTGGGTTGTGAAATAAGAGTGTGTATCCAAGGAATATTTGTTGGCTCGAAGATTTTGGGTTTCAGTGATTATTGGAAGTTACTCAATAGAAAGAATCTAGAAATCACACCCAGAATCCCTTAGGCATGACAGCGAGGGTACAGAGAGGAGTGCATTCGACAAAACATTTTAATTGTGTTATACAATCTCAGAACCCGACAAAGCTCCTAACACAAGCATCCGATCCTTCTGTCAAACTTCAAACATTCCAGGGTTGCATATTTCTGTCACAACTTCTGCAATGTAAGATTCAAAAAAGACGACTTGATCAAGTCTTGCTAGAAAATAAATCTTATTACAAAATTTTTTAATTTACTAAGATATGCATGAATCTCAAAAATACTGAAAAATGTGAAGTCAAAGCTAAATGATCAAGACAATGGAGTAAACTGTGGCCTACTTTGACTATAAATTTTTGAAAATGGAGCCTGCAATATCCCATAAAATCTTCAATGAATGTTGTACTTCTTTAATCTCTCCATCAGTAGGATGTCCATGAGGGTGATTGGAGGTTCTAAAAACATATTTAATGCCAGTTTGTAAATTAACTTGTATTTGTCACTTAATACGTATGTTTTCAAAATCCGACCCGACCTGACCGGTCCGGTCGATTCAACCTGAAAAAGTGAGAACAGACGAGAAACCGAATTGGTTATTGCTTAAAACCACCCTAATTAGAACCTGAGAAAACATTCAAACCTACAGCTTCACCCATAAACCGGTTGACTCAGGGCCCGTTGGCTTTTTAGTTTGAAAAAGAAAAAGAAATTTCAATCTATAGTTGCTTCCTCAACTTTTTCTTTTATTGAATTTTGATGTGGGATTGCTATTACTAATTACAAAAGAAATACCCAGTACTTGCTTTAAGCCTTCAACACGTAGGATTACTTTAAAACATAATGTTATATTTTTATTTGAATAAATGTAAATAAATCTAAAGTGCAAATAAACTATTTCTTCAATTTGATTTTTTAAAATTCCAATTTACTCTATTTCTCATTTAATTTTATTAATGTACTAAAATGCTATATAAATATTCGATCCTCTATTGAAGCTTTTGCCATCTTTGTTAAAAGTGGATATAATGAAAATTAAATATGGCCAACTTTAATAAGTGCTTTCATCTATAAGTATTAATTAATTTGTAAAATTAACTTATTTATCAAAATTTTTGTGCTATATTTATTTATTTTTGACAACTAATTTGACTCTTGACCTTTTTCCTTTATTGAGTCAATTCTTGGAGGGTTTTTTAAAACACAGCAGTTGCGTTGCACATACACTTCAACTAGAGTGGCTTGTTAATGTCTGACACCTATCGTGTTGAATATCGACACTCCTCGGGGGTTCTACCATTGTCAATTTTGTTTCTTAGTAATATATAGTTTTAACTCGAGGTTATTATAATGTAACTAATAGGTACTCTTATTTTGAAGATCCTAGCAAGAAAAATTAATAATAAGTATAAAATTGAAGTTATACTATATAAATGAATAATTTTAAAGAATTTAATCAACATGTCGTGTCGGTGCATCATAGCTTAGTAGGATACACACCTTTTCCTTTGGGAGAACTCTATAGTGATTGTATTTCCCCGTCATTGCAAATCTTCGTTTATTATTGTGACAAATACCTTATTTTTTCCAGGGGCAGCTATCTATACTGATTGTATTCGGCTTTGTCATTTTATATCTTCATTTATTATTGTGACAAGTACCAATATGAGTATGTTTTGTATTTTAGTTTAGTGGAAGTGATTCATTCTTATAGTGTCATTTGACCAGAATTAACTGTGAAATATGCTAGCTGTATATACTAGAATGATGTTGAATAATATTAATCTTGCAAATGTAAAAGAAATATGACTACTTGTGTGACTATTGCTTTTGTTGATGCTCACAGTCCTAAGCCAATAATCAGAAACCTCTTATTGTGGCTTTCCAAAGTGGCGAGCAGCATTCATTCAACCTATATAGGGAAATCCGTGGAAAATGAATGCTTTTAGTAAACTATAGCATCTACAAATAAAAGGCAAAGGCTGTTCTTAAAATAATCAGCTTCTAAGAAGAACGTAGGAAAAACATATTATAGAACTGACATTTTAGATACTACATCTCTTTGTCTACCAAATAATCCAATCAAAAAAAGAAAATAGAACAGAATAATGGCAGAAATAGCCCTATGGATCATAAAATATCCTGGACACTAAATGATAGAAATAAGATCTAGGGTATGTTTGAGCCACATTATTTTGGAAGAATGTATTTTGGAATAGTAGATTGATGGAGAATGTGTGGTTAAAAAATAAGGAAAATTTTTGGATGTGATGGAAAATATTATTTTATTGAAGAATGTGTGGTTGAAAATGAGTTTTGAAAGAATGAATTTTGAAAAAATGTGGATCAAACAGGGGCTTGCTGTTCTTTCCAAGTGATGGTAAAGTCAACTCATAATATCCTGGACACTAAATGATAGAAATAAGATCTAGGGTATGTTTGAGCCACATTATTTTGGAAGAATGTATTTTGGAATAGTAGATTGATGGAGAATGTGTGGTTAAAAAATAAGGAAAATTTTTGGATGTGATGGAAAATATTATTTTATTGAAAAATATGTGGTTGAAAATGTGTTTTGAAAGAATGAATTTTTGTAGAATGTAGATCAAACATGGGCCTAATTTGGGCAAACTAGTGTAGCATGAATTGTAACTTTCTCATCACCCATGATCATTATCTCCTTTCTGTTTTTCTTTTCCTCTTCCTCTTTTTTGGTCTTAATCTGATGCATGCTGTGTTAGTCCTCCTTGGATTGGAATACTTTTTTTTCCATGTTTGTTTTCCCGTAACAAAATGTGGAATAAGTAATTACTTTGTGTAACACCCCAAATTTTCTGGAGTGTTACCAAAATTCACTTTTCTTTATGCTAAAAGCGGAACGATAAAATAATATTATTTAAAAAAATTAACTGGAATATCCATAAATTTAAACTAAACATGAAAATTGTATCTTAAAGTAAATAACATATCTTTGACTGAATTAAACTAATTAATAATTTGAAGACTGAAAAAATTTAATGTTTTTATTTTTTCAATTCCTCTGGCAGTCCGTATCACCATCTCGTCACTGTTCCAATTGACTCGAACTAACCCGTAAAATTTTGTAAGAGTGAGTATTTGAAAATATCAAATAAGATACGTGCAGTTTCCATACACAATTATATAACAATAAAATGAACATTTCATACCACTCTTCTCTTATGGAGTATATCGGTGACCAATCGACACACAGACATCTTAAATTCCCTTAGGATCTCATATCTCTTAATAAAGAACCCGAATGTCCACTGGTAATTCATACATAAATTACTGAATATAAAAACATAAGGAATGAACAACTTGCACAAAATTATCTTACCTTGATTTTGAAAGGTTGAAAAGAATAAAACTTACACGTAAAAGTTTTCCTATTATTTTTCTATACTTTTTCCTCTCCTCTTTCTACCGTGGCCTTCTTTATTTTCTGTGATGAAATAATGAGAATTCCTACGATATTTATAGTTGAAATTCTCAATTGAGTTTGTATGCGACTAGAATTGAAAAATAGTGTAATATAAGGAATTTGGATAAGAATTGATTTCAAATAATGGAATTATGATCACTATTAAACTTTATCAAATTACAAAAAGATTATCATTATCAAAATCAACATTTATCATCTGTCACACACATTGCAGGAAGAAGAAATTGAATTGGGTTATAAATTATTTAAAATTCTATTTATCCTTGTTTTCTTTCAATTGGGTCTAACTAAATGTGTTCTACCGAGAATAAGATCAACAGTTGCAGTGCGATAAGGTAAATCTGGAACGCTGAACGTCAATTCAAAACCTTGGGAAGGAACCTTTTTGGGAATGGGCCGTGGGTTAACAGAAATGCCCCTCAGAACATTGGCTATGCATATGCCATTGATTTTGACAATGGAACTGACATTGGGATCTGTTTGTCTCAAAAACGGAGGAACCCAAGTGCTGTGTATCCCAAAGAATGGTGACCCCAGCTGCGAATTTCCCTTTATATTTAAATGGCCCACATGACACCTTCACTTTTACAAGATAACAACCTGGGTGAAATGAAAACTCAACAGCTAGGATAAGAGATCCAAAAAGTATTATGCGCATAATAAAATCCACTATTATTATATGAAGATGGTATTTATTTCCCACCGATCGGAAATTAGAACAACTTGATTAGTTGCATGTTTTGCATTGATGACACTGTCTTCACATGCTATACATGACTTAATAATTTCTTTTGCATTCGTTTTAGGGGCAGTTTATAATGAAGATCCTGAATGTTATATTTTGCTGAGGAATACTGAACTTGTATACTATGATGTTTTTCACAATTCACGCAATATTTGCAGATTTGATCCTCCAGAAATTCCGAAAGGTTTTGTTCCTCAGCATAAGTTTCCTGCTCCTCTTGAAATTGGCAGCAAGAGTGCTGACGCCCCTCCCTCAGAGGTGTCTCCTCCGGAGAATAACAATCTTAAGGTCTTGATTGAAGGAGTGGCAACTCTAGTAGCTCGCTGTGGAAAATTATTTGAGGATCTCTCTAGAGAGAAGAATCAGTTAAACCCATTATTTGCTTTTCTTCATGGTGGAGATGGCTGTGATTTTTATGCAAGGAAGCTGTGGGAGGAGTGCCAGAAGCGTGGCAATCAAACCAAACTGTGGGATGGGAAAACGTTTCAGAATTTACATAAGATGACAGCTGAAAGCCGTGGAAAAGTTCTAGGAGAAAAGGCCCTGCAAAGAAGCACAGAAGATTCAAGCTCTGTGATTGCTTCTGCTGATGCTGTAAATCTTCAGTTTAATCTTTCAGATACATTCACTAAGCCTGCTTCACGTGTAAGTGGCTCAGATAACGGGAACTTTATGGGTTTGAATGGACAGTTGTTTTCTTAGTTGAATGTTCTTAAAATATGATTTTTAATTCTGCCTTGAAGTTGGTAATATTGATTGTTTTTTCTTCTGTTATAAACTTTGAAAATAGAACAAAGTCCAGGAAATCGCAAAACCGTTCTCCGATGATCCTGCAAAGCAGAAAAGATTTGAGCAGTTCTTGAAGGAGAAGTACCAAGGAGGTCTTCGAACTAAAGATTCAGGTGGGGCAAGTGGAATGTCTGAATCTGCTCGTGCTCGTGAAAGATTAGAGTTTGAGGCTGCCGCTGTGGCTATAGAGAAAGAAAAATTGGACAAAGAAAGCCAGGCTACTAGTCAGTTGCTTAAGGATTTGACAGCCTCTGCAGGATTGCAGTTTACTACTGGTGGAGTGGAGGTATTTATAATGTCATACAAGTTCATATTTGATATTGCAATTTAAACCTCGTATTGTTAATTTGAATATCCGTGACAGAAAGCTGAAGTTCAACAAGATGAAGAATTGATATCCAAAACAATGTACCCAAAACGAGAAGAGTTTCAATGGCGACCCTCACCAATATTATGCAAGCGATTTGATTTAACTGATCCTTACATGGGCAAGGTATTCATGTTGGTTAATCCTTTAAATTAGTTTTTAGTTACACGAAGGATCAGTGTTTTTTCTTTATAATTTTGGTTGGGATGATTAGCATTTTGTTGTTGAGAGGCTGGATGTCATATTTTTGATCGCTTACGTATAAAATATAATTGTGATATAAAGCAAATGGATTCCTCTAGCTTGCTCGGTTTTGTGATAGCATGGAAAATTGTTCTGTAATCAACGTCTCTGTTGTAATTGTCATTAACACTTTAATCTTTGATAATTGTTAGGAATCTTCCTCGCCACATTTAATTGTAGTTCAAATGTTGCATGAGCATGATTGTTGCCATTTACATGCATCTGCTATGTTAATTATATCCATCCTTTCCTGTATGGTTTTATGGTAAATTAATGCTAGTGTGTTAAATCAGTCGACTATACATGGAAGTTGGACGAGAAAATTTAAGTGAAGGTTTGGTTCCATTGTTATAGTGGTATTTGTCTCCATTATAATCATAGTAAAGCCAGCGTAGACTCTAAATTTTCACTGAGTGTTTGGTCCCACTGTTATAGATGTATTTATCTCCATCAAAATCATAATAACGCCGCTGTAGAATTGAAACAGGAATAAGTAATATATCCTGCGCTGTTAGGCATGCTCACACATATGTGCACATTCCTTCGGTGAGAAGTTTATATTTTCAAAAATCTTTGTAATATGAAGTTAAGGTAGTAAGAGTTTCATGCTTTGTTCTTTCTATTTGAAAGTTAGGAATGAACGTTACATTCTTTTCTTTGACATTACATTATCTTGTTTCTTTTATTTCCAAATTCTATCTTCTCTTGTTGGTATTTATGTTTCAAGAGCATTTATTGTGATATTCATATCAACATTTGCAGCCACCCCCCGCTCCTCGTGTTAAGAGCAAAATGGATTCTCTAATTTTCATGCCCGATTCTATCAAAGCTACAAATGTGGAAGAAAGTTCTGTTACAGAAGGGACCTCGTCTTCAGCTCCCAAAGTACATGGTAAAGAGAATGGCCAAGAAAAAACTGAGCAAGAAGCTGAGGTTGAGGTGGAGGTTGTAAACGTTGAGAGGCCTGTCGATCTGTACAAGGTGTGTTCAACCACTCATTTTTGTTTGTTGATTGTGTTGTAGACTTTGAATTATGCTTAATGATTTTCTAATCCTTCTTACAACTTGCACAGAATCAAAAGGTAATTAAATATTATATTGACCAATTTGTAGTTGATCTTTCCTCCAATAGAATCACTCTATTTATTTCCTTAAATCGTATAATTTGATTTCATTGTAAATTACAAGTAAAATTTAGGTCAACGGTGTTGGGGAATTCTTAACTTGTGTGGCTTAGTCTCTAATGAATTAACCGTAGTTGGACACTGAGACTTTATTGTGATGTAAGTTTACAATAATCATCGCTCACGACCCTGTTCAATGTGACAGACTGAGTCATGTAGTCACTTCATTAAGAAGAAACTAAAACAGCAACCACACTTCATAAAGACCATTGTTTTATGTATTTGCTATGAAGGTCAGAGATAGGCAGTCATTCGTGCTGAAACCCAATATTCTCAGGACCAAAGAGTTGGACGGAAAGATGTTAGTTTCTGGTTCTCCCGTAATTGGAACCTCTAGAACCATAAAATCATTAGATTGAATGGAATTCCAACTTTAAGAACTGATAACCAAGATGGGCATGATGAACATTTATGACCCAACTTGAGCGGGAGTGTTGACCCAACAGAATCAAATAGGACCATTTGGCAAATCGTCAATGTTCTTTTCCTCCAATAAATTAGCCAATTTTCCCCCTTAAAAATGGTCTAGTTTTATTTCCTTGTTTATTATGCAATATTCTTCTTATTGTTTTTCAGTTACTATTTTATCCTGCTCTACCCTGGGTTGATAGTTGCTTTTTCCTTTAAATTCCATGTAATTCTTCTAAATCAACAGAAGGAAAAATCTTCCTAGTTCTCTTTAGATTGTGTGGACTACTTTTCCTCCCTCTCGAATTTGCAACATTTCAGCTTTTTGGTGTACCGCAAGGATTTGCAACACTTCAAAAAGTCAAACTTCTCCGCCTTAGCCTAATTATAATTAATTCATCAATGATTTTGTTTTGGTCCCTTCTCTGAATTGTGCTCATGAGGTGGTCACAGGGAAAGGTGATGGACCATAATTTGAGGTTGGCTTTCTAGCCACCAAACAGATACATTTTTCAAAAAAAAATATATGCTTCTTTTCAAGATATAAAGATCAGTCTTTGATAAAATTATGTTGATATGTTTAACCACTCAAGGATTTGGTGTTCTATTTCTTGTCTGGTTTAAAAGGTTGTTTATTCATGTTTGTGTATTAAGTTTCTTATCTGCATCATATAGTCATTTATGATGTTCCTACTGTAGGCTATATTTTCTGATGATTCGGATGATGAAGAGGAAATAATTACTGAACCAAATAAAATTGAGAATCCACAAAAGAAGATTGAAGCTGCTAACACAGCTTTGAATCGTTTAATGGCTGGTGACTTCTTAGAATCATTGGGGAAAGAATTGGGGTTAGAGGTTCCTCCTGATATGCCTCTGTCAGAAAATAAAGCTGTTGTAAAACCGGCCCAGAAGGAAACTTTTGATGCAAACAAAGCAAATGATGAAAATAAGATGTCTGTCACTCAAAATGCTGTTAGTGAGATTTTGGCAAGTCAAAAAATTGGAGAGGATAGACCATCTGATCTGAAGATCACTCAGGCCCAGTTTTCCAACTTTGACACGCACGGGAACAATAGTAGAATAATTGACGATAGGTCAGTCGGAAAGGTTGCTAAAGAAGATAGGAATGCAAACACTCCCAAGCATCATAAATTTAGCAAGAGCTCATCAGAAGACGGAAGAAGTAGAAGACGCTCCCGGAGTCATCGGCACAAAGACAGTAGTTCAGATAGTGACACATCTGATACATCTGATGATTACCCCGATCGATCCCGCTCAAGGTCGAAACGGAAAAAGAATGGATCCTCACGGGAGAAGAGTAGAAGCAGAAGACATTCAAAGCACCACAAGCACAGGAGCAGAGACTCTCCTACCAGATCTCGACGCAGTTCTGAAAAAGAACGTGAGGATACCAAGAGAAAGAAGCGTGAATACAAAAATTGAGGTGATATTTTTATTTTGACCGGACTACTAAACTTTTTGTATGAATTGCTTCACTTTGAGGATCTGTTTTACTCTTCAACTGGTTTTGCATGGGGTTGAATTGGTTAGGTGTATATTTATCAGTGCTTCCCATGATTTTTTTACAAGAGATGTCATAATATATACTGGTGAAAAGCCTTGTCTAGAAAATTCATAAAAGTTATTGAACACTTGTGTAGATAATATCAGGTTCCTTGAGTATGTTTTGTCAGTATGGAGTCAGATTTGAACTAATAGTCTCCCTTTCTTAACCGGAATGGTACCTCGAGTAAACTGAGGTAAGTGCTCAAGTTTGGGTAATTTAGAGCAATTATCCATTTTAGCCGTTAAAATCAGTAAAAAATTTATAATTTACTTTCCACAACGTTTTTCATCAATTACTGTACTTTTATAATTTCTAATTTCCATATCGCAATTGAACTTTGGTGCCATGTCATCGAAAACTAGTGTCCAAATGTGCCACGTGATATTTGTTGTCCACACCATTCATTTGATCTACTTTTTTAGCCGTTGATGAGAGTGACGCATGGTGTAACAATTTGGTAAACTTAATGGCTAATAAAGAATGTTTTAAAGTTTAGTGGACCAATGGAAAACATTTGAAAACTATAGTGGTAGGAGGAGTAAACCTTTCGAAATTGAACTGAGACGAGTATTGAGAAAAAAGCATAATTTTGATTGAAGGCTTTAAGGCCACAAAAAAAAAAATAAAAATAAATAAATAAATAAATTTTTATCTATTTAATTATAAGTGATAAGTGTATTTTATACACTTATTCGGGATTTAAAATAACGGTATTTGATAGTTCTTCTGATAAAATATATCTTAAATTGTTGTATTTTATACTATATAGGTAAAACTCAATGATTGAACAAGGAATGGAAAGAAAGAAACGAAAATTGGTGAAAAAGAGTAAAATCCAAAATTTGAGGACAAAATTGTAATTATTCAATAGTTGATTCGGATACAAGAAAATACTTTGAAGATTGCTATGAGACAATTTGATGAAATTAGAACTCAAAAATGAGTGAAATATGATCAAAATCAATTTTCAATCGCACAATAAGATTTACACTAAACAAAAGATGAAGTTAAGTTAATCAAATTACTAATTATAAATGCAATACACACCAATTTGAAAGACTTGTCAAATGCTAATTGCCAAACAAGGTCATACCAAACAAAGTCACACATACACAAGCTATAAATTTTCTCAACCCAAGATTACAAATATTTAGATTATAGAATACAGATAGTTATTATAGATTACAGATTATAGACTACATTGATTGTGGTATTTTTATTATTTAATAAATATTTAATAATTTTTCTAGTCAAATATTGAATTTTCAAAAATAAAATTTGTATATGTCATGTCGTGTCACGTTTCATTTCCCATTTTATCCATTTTTCTGTTAAGAATTGAGGTTCCATCTTAAAATGTTAACCTTATTAAGAGGAGTAACCCAATCCTTTATAAGTTAGTTTATGTTTACATTTTTATTCGATATGAGATTCTATCTTTTAACATACTCCCGCAAGATGATGACTCGTTTGAGCAGATCAATCTTGAAATCTGTATGTTCACTTTTGGAGTCTTAACCGGATCGAATTGCTCGTTAGAGCTTAATGTGGTCTGATACCAATATTAAGAATTGGAGTTCCATCTTAAAATGTCAACCTTATTAAGAGCAGTAATTCAATCCTTTATATGTTAGTTTATGTTTACATCTTTATTCGATGTGAGATTTTATCCCTTAACATTTTCTATAGAAAAGAAAGGAAGATAATAAAAGGTTAGCTTTATTATTCTTTTATAAATTATTATCAATTTTTACAATGGAAAAGCCTTAAACAACACGAAACATAATCCTCATTCCAATTTCACAATGGCCTGGAACGCCACATATGATGTAGTAATCTCCTGCGTTTCCAATTGTCAACGCGTCATTGCCTGAATCGAATTTTTGTCCACTTTGAGGCACACATGAAGTATAGCCTTTTACGTCCGTGACTATCACATTGTGTATACGCGGATCGTATCTGAATACTGTAAAATAAAAACAAGAACTTGTTATAACTATTAAATTTTTGGGTTGTGCTTCTTGTACATTAAGGTGTACATCAGGGTGTCCATAATCGGATCGTATCTGAATACTGCAAAACAAAAACAAGAACTTGTTATAACTATTAAATTTTTGGGTTGTGCTTCTTGTACATTAAGGTGTACATCAGGGTGTCCATTATGGACACCCGGCACCTCCTCATTGGAGGAAGTGCTGGTCACATGGACACCATGATGTACACCTTAATGTACTTCTAGCATTTTCCTAAATTTTTAGTGTTTGTAGGCCAATCAAGAACACTCGGCCAAGGAAACGAACTTAACGATGACATCTAAATACGAGGATTGTTAGGAGAATTTATAATTTAAACTAACACCTATTATGGGTTCTTCAAAAAGAAAGCGAGACTGTCTTTAAGATAATTTTCGTGCCGAGTACATCGCCAACCTTGAAATTCTTGCCATCTTCCCAACCAATTACTCTAAAGCCCCAACCTGCAGCGTCCCCAACATAATAGGTTTCTCCATTAGCCTTGTTGCTCTGAGCCAACATTTCCAACACCATTATTGTCACAAAAATGGCAATGCTTTTCATTTGGGACATTTTGAAAGAGAATTATTTTTGGTCAATACTAAAAAATAATACGTCTTTTAATAGTTGCTTACCATGTAAAGTACTCAATTTGAAAGATTTAAAAAATTTATTTAGATTGTAATAATATGTGACTGATAGTCTAAATCTGTACGTAGTTGTAATTCTTAGGGAGATTTGATAATATGCAGCATTCTATTTGATAGAATCAGATTTTGTACATATATTGGAGATCTTTATTTATTATGTATTACCCATGTTTCTCAATAATATCACTCATTTAGATAATGAATTTAAGTATTTCTTTAATCTGTTTTTGTATAGAGTAATATTATTCAGTCTCACCGGTGGCTAGCAGCAATTCAAGTGGCAATTATATGGCATGTGTGTTTGTCTCTCATTATTGTAGAAGAAATAGAGTAATGAATAGTATTTTTTAGAGAATGTGTGATTGGAATTTAAAGTAACTTTATTGATTTGTGTGCAGAATATTTTATTGGGTGAATGTGTGGTAGAGAATCTTATTGTACGAAATAATGTTTTGGAATAATGGGAGACAAACGGGCCTAAATGATAGATTTATTTAAATGATCCATTTAATTAGATCTATCAAGTGTGGTTACTTAAACCGATGCTAAATAGTATTATCTTTTTGTATGCTATGATTGAAGAAAAACGTATTTTGAGAATTTGCAAAGCCAATAAATTCTATTTCAAGTGCCAAATGATGGAATTTACAAGGTTAATATACAATTACATTATTTCCAGAATTGCATATTTTTGTGCAGCTGGAGACACACGAAGTATAGTCTACTTCTTCCGTGACTAGCACATTGTGTACATGTAACATGTGAATTGTATGTGAACATTACGAAAACACCAACAAGAGCATGTTATTGTTAAAATCTCATCACAAATACAATTTGTCGAGGACAACAAGCTCAACAACGACAACTAAATACGGAGATTGTCCCCGATAAAAAATTTAAGGGTTCTACAAAAAGGAAGCAAATATTGATTTATAATTTGGATNGGGGGGGGGGGGGGGGGGGGGGGGGGGGGGGGGGGGGGGGGGGGGGGGGTAAGTCTACATAATACAATTTTCATACCAAGTACATCGCCTACTTTGAAATTCTTTTCAACATAATAGGTTTACCCATTAGCCTTATTGCTCTGAACCAACACTTCCAACAGCATTGTCACAGAAATGGCAATGCCTTTTCATTTCAGACATTTTGAAAGGATTATTTTGGCCAATACTAAAATGAAACTATTTTAAGAAAATGTATGGATTACTAGAACAACTTGTCATGGACTCAAAATCTATACATCGTTATATAGCTGCTCGTGTTGATTGTTGTTACATTGCAAAGTATTTGATTTGAACGATTTAGAAATTTTGTTTACAATGTAATCATATTTGATTGATGCTCTCAATTGTTGCCATTCTCGAAGAGATTTGATATAAAACCAACCACGAGATTGAGATGTTGAAATTATATAGCACAATAATGAAGTATTTGATTACAAGCAAAAGAATAAAAGAAGACAAGAAATATGGTAGTGGAATTAAGAGATTTTATTGTACCACAAATAATGAAGATTGAGAAATATTGCAATGATCCTAAAAGATAGTAATCAATTTTCTCACACTATATAATTGTATAGAATAGTCTAATATTTATAGTGAACATGTCCAAACCCTCATAGTAGAGTTGTTGATGAAGTAAGATGCTAAAAAACAAAGTCCAAAACGAAAAAAGAGAGAAAAACGTGAAAAAATCGGAATAAACATAGGTGGCAACGCGACGGCACATCCGGGCGCCCCGACGCCAAGGACGGCGCTGTGGCGCCCGGGGCAAAAAATTCAACAAAGGTTCTGGAGCCAAGGCACCGTTTGCCCCTCTTCTTCCTCATTTTTTTTTTGCTTCAAGTTGTTTACTTCATCCCGAACTCCTTTTCAAGTCCAATACCAATTTTCAACTCTCAATGAACTTTCAAAATAGAATTTCAACTTGACATAGGACTCCAAAAGCATTCCAAACTGAATTCTTCTTGATGTGCACTTCAATTAGAATTTTTCAATTACTTTAACAAGGAATTCGGGTCACACCCAAATTCTAACAGATTGATGCTCTCAATTGTTGTCATTCTCGAAGAGATTCGATAAGAAAATGCTATCTATCTAGACGATCGATAGTCAGTAATCTAGGTATCAGTTAAGTGTCATTAAATGACACTGAAACCTTTTAAATGTGCATATATGTGTTACATTTAAGATGCCAATCTTAAGCATTAGTTTAAAAGGGTTATTAATTTTGAAGGTTTTTACCTTAAAATTTTTTATTTTGTTTTGAAAAATGCACCTGCTTAATTTTCACGTCCTTTATCTTCTTCCATCGGCTCTAAAGCATTAATATCCTTAAAAACCTCCCAAATATATCTTGTCACACAAGAAGCAAACAAGAAGGTGATCACAATAACTTAATTGAGGACAATTCAAAAGATGAAGGATGTCGTAAAAAAATCTCAAACACGGTGGTCTCGTGCAAACTAACATCGACTCAAGAAAGATTAATAGGAAATAAATGGACCCGACTGGCTGGTCGATTTAAGGAAGAAAAATAAGCTAAATAAACATGCCCTCGATGTCTCATATCAGTAAAAGTACTCTTGAAAAGGCTTACCTGTTTAGTCTAATTGTAAATAGGCTTCGTTTGTACTCAGCAACAAACATGGAGTCTCTTTTCGAATGGAAACCAAAATCCCTCCTTTCACCACAGCGAGAGCGAATATATAACAAATGGCCACTCTCGAGATCTTGACAGACAAGTTCAGTGCTTTCCCTCAAACATAAGGGCTTTGGGGCTCCTACCACACATCCGAAAGGAAATAAATAAGTCCAACTACCCTTTCGATTGAGCAACCACGCTTCAAATATGATATCGTAAGTATAATAAATGAGGATTACGGACTCTTTGACCGGTAAAATATAACTAGATATCGTATCATAATCAACATAACTTATATATGGTGGCCGCCTTGTGATTTTAAAACCTTCATCGCAAAAATTAAACGATACGATAGCATCATTATCATGTTCTATACTTCCCCGGCAATAGAAAGTTGATCCATTTTTGTTGCTTGTGAATTCCTCTGAACTCAAGAAACAATGGGCTAAAACATTGTCGACTTCCAAGACTCTCCAAGTATTAGTACTTAGGTTGTATATTTCGAAGTGGTTAACGATTTCTTGCTTATGCTGGATCGTGAAGACTTGAAGTATCTTGAAGTTCTTGCTAAAATCGAAGCCAAACCCAATACGACGAGGAGAAAACACATGGAAATCCTCTTGTAGACGGGGAATGAGAGATGGCGGGAGAGTCTTGCATTCTTTGTTGCAAGGATTCCATAGAGCAATATCACTACCAGATGCATAACAGACAATTCCATGAAGAAGACCAAAATAATGTCGAAAAATACTATCCGATGTGAACTTGTTGAACACTGGCGGAACTTCAAGATCTACAAGTTGTACGACAAAATTCGGTACACATTCATCCATGGCTACCAGTGACATCATTGGCTTCCCGGTTTCTCTGTCGAGACGGCTCATAAAGAAACACGTCTCGTCCCTTTTCCTCGAATAGTAATCGGCGACGAAGGAAGGGTTCGCAATCAAGTTGTACCATGATTTGCAAACACACTTGAATTGCATCAAGTATTTAAGTGGCAACTGCAACAAGATTTCTTCCAAAGTATAATCATTCAGCAGTCTTTCGGCCATTAATATTATCAAGAATTAGAAGCTAAGAGGGGAAGAACGGAACGACAAAATTACTATATTCTTTTTGCCCTTAACATATGGGAATAGAACCAAAACATACTATATTCTTCACACAAATATTTTTCTGGTTCTTCTTTCCTTGTACATTGCACAATTCTCTTTTGACCTAGCTCTGCGGTATCCCTATTTTGGTTACCGAAGTTGATTTAAATTGATTCTCCCAAAAATCAAGAAAATTGCATTCAAATAAAACTCTTTTGAAAGCTTCCTAATTCGTATCGAATTAATGTGCCGTAACTAGGGCCCAATAATTAAATATTAGGAAGGGAACAATACACAAAAACTACATTTAAGAATTACTTTTCAAAACTAACAAATTTGTCTAATTATTTCAAAAATCAGGTGATAAATAGATTAATTAAATATTAAATTATAATATAATATATATTAATTATTTACACCAATGACACCTCATGCACCCCACTATACCACCTTCCCTCCATCTCCGGCATCGTTCCGGCGACGGCGGTCAGGCGATCGTTCCGGCGATTTCAAGATTTTCAGAAAATAAAAAATTGGAAATTACACCCCCAACCCATGGATCCACCTACCACCACCCCACCCCTGCCTCCACCTCCTAAAAA